ATTATTTTATGAATAAAAAGTTAAAAAGAACAGCATTTATTTAAAATTAAAATCTTTTCTAACTCTAATGAGTCTTTACTATCATTTTTTATCCATTTAACACATCCTTGCTGAATAAAAGTATTCATTACTTTTAAAAAAAAGAAAGAAAAAAATTTACTGACTCCAAACTTTTGAATGATATTGTTTATTGTAACACAAGATTTCCATTTTGAATAAATGGTGTGTGTGTGTGTGTGTGTGTATTACACTGCTGTTCAAAAGTTTGGGATCAGTAAGATTTTTAATGTTTTTTAATGGAGTCTCTTGTGCTCATCAAGGCTGTACTTATTTGATCAAAAATACAGAAAGAAAACTAATATTGTGATATATTATTTCAATTTCTAATATTGGTTTTCTGTTTTAATATATTTGAAAATATAATTTATTTCTGTGATCAAAGCTGAATTTTCAGCATCATTACTGCAGTCTTCAGTGTCACATGATCCTTCAGAAATCATTCTAATATGCTGATTTATTATCAGTGCTGGAAACAGTTGTGCTGCTTAGTTTTTTTTTTGTTTTTTTTTGGAAATACTTTTTTCTGGATTCTTTTATGAATAAAAGGTTAAAAAGAACAGCATTTATTTCAAATTAAAATCTTTTCTAACTCTAATGAGTCTTTACTATCATTTTTTTTATCCATTTAACACATCCTTGCTGAATAAAAGTATTCATTACTTTCAAAAAAAGAAAGCAAAAAAATTTACTGACTCCAAACTTTTGAACAGTTGTGTTTATTGTAACACAAGATTTCCATTTTGAATAAATGCTGTTTTTTTATTTTGTATTTATATTCATAAAAGAATCCTGTAAAAAGTATCACAGGTTCCAAAAAACATGAAGCAGCAAAACTGTTTCCAACATTGATAATATATCAGCATATTAGAATGATTTCTGAAGGATCATGTGACACTGAAGACTGGAGTAATGATGCTGACAATTCAGCTTTGCATCACAGGAATAAATGATATTTTAAAGTATATTAAAATAGAAATTTTAAAAGATTTTAAATTGCAAAATATTTCACAAAATAGCAGGGTTTTTTTCTGTATTTTTGATCAAATAAATACAGCCTTGATGAGCACAAGAAACTTAGGTAAAAAATATTAAAAATCTTACTGATCCCAAACTTCTGAACGTCTGTGTGCATTGAATTTATTTAATACACGAGTTTCACAATTTGAGTTGAATTACTGAAATAAATGAACTTTTCCACGACATTCTAATTTATTGAGATGCACCTGTGTATATACAGTATATGATTATTTATATAAATATGTGTGTATATAAATATGATTAAAAGATGAATATGAGACAAAACCACAAATTGTCACATTTTATTATTGGGTGTTTCAACACATACATGTTTTACCAACTAAGAAGATCAGCACTTTTAGAGTTTCATCCCCCTACCTGATGTGAGCATAAGTATTGGAACAGTTGCCTCACAGGTCCCTCTAAGTAATCAGCTGTGTCCTGTTGCATTAATTCTTCAGATATTAAAAGCAGGGAATGTGTCATATCAGTTATATCCATATCCTTTAGTCTTGCATTCGATGACGACACACACAAACCAGGATGAAGACGAGAGAGCTGACTTTAAGAGAAAAGCAAGCAATTTGGATGCTAAAAGAAAAGAGGAAATCAATTCAAAAACAAAGGACATGGAGAAATCAAGAGTTTGGAAACCACCGGCAACATCAGCAACCAACAACGTCCTGATCGGCTGAGGAAAACAACAGCAGTTGATGACAGGCAAATCATAATAGCTGTGAAAAAGAACCCTAAAATACGTGTCTGTAAAATCACCAACAACCTCCAGAAAGCTGGAGTGAATCTACTCTCTACAATCTACTGTCCGCTGGAGACTTTGACACAGAGTTACAGATGCTACACAGCAAGATACAAACCTCTGATCAGCACCAAAAATAGAAAGGCACGATTAGAGTTTGCAAAAGCCAGTAGAGTTTTGGAAAAGAGTTTTATGGACAGATGAGACAAAGATTATCCTTTATTTAAGTGATGGGAAAACAAAAGTGTGGAGAAAAAAGGGAACTGCAAATAATCCTAAGCATACAGCCTCATGTGTAAAGCATGGTGGAGGTGGTGTCATGGCATGGGCATGCATGGCTGTCTCTGAAACAGGCTCTCTCAAATTTAATGACGACTTAATGTATGATAACAGCAGCAGAATGAATTTGGAAGGGTACAAAACCATCTTGGCTACCAATATTTAAGAAAATGCCACCAGACTCATCAGAAAGCGCTTCATATTGCATCAGGACAATGACCCAAAACACCCTGCCAGTTCAGTCAAGGAGTTTATCAGGGCAAAGAAATGGAAAGTCTCAGATTGCCCAAATCAATCTCCAGATTTAAATCTGATTGAACATTAATTTCACCAGCTGAAGAGGAGACTAAAGTCAAAAACTCCCCAAAACAAGCAACAGTTGGAATTGGCTGCATTAAAGGCTGGGAAAAGCATTTCAAAGGATAAGACCCTGATAAGAGTCTGGTGATGTCTATGGGTCACAGACTCACTGCTGTGATTGCGAGCAAGAGATCTGCAACAAAATAATAGCTTTTAATCTTTTACATCTGCCTTAAGTTCATCTGTCCCAAATACTTATGCTCACATCAGATAGTGGGACTCTCTCTAAAAGTGCTGTCCTTTTTATATGGTAAAACATGTATGTGTTGAAACAGCTAATAATAAAATGTGACATTCTGTAGTTTTGTCTCATATTCATCTTTTAATCATATTTGCAAATGTCTTGACTCCACAGCAAACAAAGCAATTTTGTCTTTACTGTTCCAATACTCATGGAGAGCACTGTATATATATCTCACTCACCAAGTCTGCATGTATTTGATCATAACTGCAGTAAAAACTGTAATAATACTGTTAAACATTATTACAATTTAAAATATGTATTTTAAAATGTATTCCTGTGATGGAAAAGCTGAATACTCCAGTTTCATTTACAAGAGAACAGGTATTTTCTCAACACTTGGACTAAATGTCCTATGCTGATGACTTGCCTGGCTGCTATTACAGGGATCCATGGTGTAAGCTCATCTGAGTGGTTTCCAATCAGCCAGTCCGTGGTGGGGAAGAGGAAGTCATTGCTGGGTGTGATGGCATTTTCCTGAAATAGATGAGATCACCCGCTGCATCTCATTATCATTGGATGAAAGTGTAATGAAACTGGTATTGGTGACAGTATGTAAATGATCAACAACCTGAAGTCCATTACCAAGTTAAAGTTTTATAAACCATGTAGTGAGGGGATTAAATGTCTTTTGATAACCATAAAATGCAAGCACAATTTAAGGCGATAGTTCTAATGGATGTGCAGTTCAAGACGGTAATTACAAAGTGGATAGAGAGTCTGCAAGATAATAGTTACACACAGGGCACATTCGAATTAAACTCTGTTGATGACAAATTGAGACCCGTTTTGGCAAAATGAGTTGGAATGTGCACGGTCTAATTTTGAGCTACAGGCAAAAGTAGTGAAAAATGTCAGTTTTGGTCGAATTTGAGGTTTTCACAAAAATGAGTTCATTAAGCCCTCTTCTAGCATTCCCAATGCTCCAAATAGTAATTAAACATCTAAAATTATGTTTATTTGTACGTTTTCTGAGAGTAGTACCTTTTTCTCTGCTCACTTCTGGACTGCTGCTGCTTCTCATCACAAGTTGTAGGCTTTTTGTTAATATGCTTTGTGAATATTCATATTGAATTCTTAATGACATGAGTCCAAACCAGTGAAATATGATTTCCGTCAGTGAACACGCAGCCTGCAAAACACTAAAATAAATATCAAAGAAAATAAATAGTTAAATAAGAAAATAGCCTTAAATAAAAACGTTAAATACACCGTCTACACCGGACGAGAGCGGCGCGGCACGACAAAATAGGCTATAGCCTATAACCCATTATAATCAGTGATGTTGTCTACACTGGATGTGGTGCGACATGACACGACAAATCCCCGACAATAAACTGATGCCTCATCCTATTTATGGAAATATGATTTTCAAACCCATGCTGATGAAAACAAAACGATCGTGATGACTGACATTTGCAAAGTGTGTGTATAAGACAGGCCTCTCTGAGAGCACGCAATCTCCCTATAAAGTACATTATTGTGAAATATGTCTTGGCGAGATTCACACAAATATTATCTGTTATGTCTTATATGAACGTTTAGTTAATGATTGGGGGAAAATCTGATGTGTAACATTTAGGGCTGTGACGGTGGCAGGTTTTTACCACCACGGTCGTAATGGACCAACTACCGTCGGTGGCACGGTGTTGTTATATATATATAATTTATATTAATTATATATATAAAAATTCTATATGAAACTATATATATATATATATATATATATATATATCATTATAATCAGTGATGTTGTCTACACTGGATGTGGTGCGACATGACACGACAAATCCCCGACAATAAACTGATGCCTCATCCTATTTATGATGTACTGACACAAAGTTCAAATGTCCTGTAGACAGACTCAACCTGTTGTGTTGCGACGCTGCGTGACAACTGTCCGGGTGTACTGTAGACACGGCACACTGTTCCGCCACCAAGCAAGCGGGCTCGTTAACTCCTGGTCTGCACACGCTCTCTGTGGAATAGGAATCGCAAAAACAAAACGATCGTGATGACTGACATTTGCAAAGTGTGTGTATAAGACAGGCCTCTCTGAGAGCACGCAATCTCCCTATAAAGTACATTATTGTGAAATATGTCTTGGCGAGATTCACACAAATATTATCTGTTATGTCTTATATGAACGTTTAGTTAATGATTGGGGGAAAATCTGATGTGTAACATTTAGGGCTGTGACGGTGGCAGGTTTTTACCACCACGGTCGTAATGGACCAACTACCGTCGGTGGCACGGTGTTGTTATATATATATAATTTATATTAATTATATATTTACCGCTGTCTCGTTTGTATTTGGCCAGTTTGGAGAAAGCCTCACCAATACAAACCTGACCAGCCGGGCGTTTGCGATCACGGGAACTTGAAGACACTTGTACGAATGCGGATGGGTGACATGAATGGAGATGGCTCCGGATCGGCGATGTATTATTTGGTTTCCAACAAGGTCCATCGCCCAAAACAAAATTAATTTGCTGAATGCAGAATAAACTGTATTTCCCTGCACTCAAACCTGCAAATCTAAAGCATGATCTAAAGGAAACGCCGTATGGCATTTGAGGTAATTTGTGAATTAACAGACTTATAGTCTAAATAAAACAACAACTGTTACTGTTATTACACTTGTATACAAAGCTTTGTATTATATTTGTTATAGATTGTGTGCCGTCACGTGCACTACCGCCGGTGGCAATAGACCACCTGCGGTGGCAACCGACCACTGCGGTTGTCACGGCGACCGTCACAGCTCTAGTAACATTATATTAGATCCATGCATTACAGTAGGTCTTAATACAGATCTGTCTCAATGTTAATCAAACATTAAAAGAAAAGAGGGAATCACTCTCTGCTCTTGATTAAACTATTGTTTATTTGCATCCTTGTTCTTATTTTTAATAACAAAGATAAAATAAAAATGGCTATATTGTAGGGCTGTCAGTTTAACGTGTTAATTAGTTATGAAAAAATAACGCGATAAAACTATTTTAATGCAGTTAACGCACTGGCCCCGCCCCAGACCTGTACGTCATCTTACATTTCATACAGTTGACTTTTGACAAATACAATGCAGGGCAACAACTCCATAAATGAAGTTCCAAACGTAGGTTCGGGAGGAGCCTAATCATTCAGGCCTGTCAATCATCATTACGAACCTATATAAGCAGCACTCATTGGACCGCCCCAGCGTCAATTCTTCCGGCATACGGCCCCGCCCTGTCCTGTGAACAGCATCCCAGCTCGACGAACTTCTGCACTTCTCCTCTAACGAACAATGCTCTGCAAGGCCCTCTTAATCCAGCTCCATTTTCAGCTCATAACAAGGGAAATCAAACTCATCAACGACCTCCTGCAGATTTGCCCAGACGCCTCCATCAAAAGCGTTTCTCCCACCCAACGCAGGCATCCGCGCACTACAGCCGCTTCAGCTCCTCATGTTACTCACATTTTAGCTAAACCGCCTTCATCCGTAAAATCGCTCTCGGTTACTCACGTAACCTCGGTTCCCTGAGATGAGGGAACGAGACATTGCTATGGGAATTACCCTTTTCTCCAAATACTACTGAAGCCTTATTGAATCACGCCAGTGAAACTGGCCAATGGCGTTCAAGCGCGCGAAATATGAGGGGTTCCCACTCTATATAAAGCAGCGCTTGTACGTCATCTATTCAGAATCTTGACTGAAGCAACTTGGCATTCTAAGATCCTGAGCTAGGTGACACGGCAATAAGAGCAATGTCTCGTTCCCTCATCTCAGGGAACCGAGGTTACGTGAGTAACCGAGAGCGTTCCCTTTCGATTCGGTCACTCTACATGGCTATGGGAACGTATAAAATCTCGCCGTGTCACAGCGATGGAGCCTGGCTCGAGTAAGTATGTCAAGTTTCACATACGAAACCGTAATGAGAGCGGCAATGATATTGGCGCTCTTGTTAAACACAGCTCAGGTCTACAGGACCTAGTCGAAACCATGTAAAAGTCAAGGGGGGGCACGGCAACTAGACGATGCTGCGTCACACCAAGGGCGGAGTTAACGCTGGTAAAACAGAGAATATGAAATGGCGGCGGTGCCGGCGCCATCACATATATAGAGCAGTTGAAGTTTGTTCATTTCAACGAAATTGTGTGTTGTGATCACTGATCTATATTTGAGAACATTATATAAATCAGTGGTTGTGATGCAACGGCTGAACCGGTGCTCAAATAAGAGTATGATGGTGATCAAGTCCTAAAAGACGTGATGAACTATATCATAACAATGTGATGAGCTGATAAGAGAGCAGCATTGGATAACAGTCTTTCTCCTGATCACTTGGCCAATAGGAACACCCCGTTGATACAGTGTCATATCGTGCCAAGGGGCCAGCACTTTCAAGCAGTCGTGCGTTACTCGTATGCGTAAGGTGCCCGCGCGCCATGCGCTCTGTGGCACGCAACTTTTCAGCCAGAGCTGAAACGGTCGCATATGTAGGAGTCCTAATTTGCACACTGTTGAGGCGGCAGCCATCTGGCCGAGCGCCCTCTGAAAGCATTTCAGCGGGGGAGAGTTCCCTAACCTGAAGACTGCGAGAGAGCTGATCAGTTTTTGTGTGCGCTCTTCCGAAAGACGCGCTCGCATATTGATTGAATTCAGCTCTACTCCTAAAAAGGAGATGTTCTGGCTCGGTACCAGCATGCTCTTTTGCATATTCACAGTCAGCCCTAAGCTCTGAACATGAGCGAGAAGTCTGAGCTTGTCGCTGAGCAGCGCGCTCTCTGATTGGGCTAAGACTAGCCAATCGTCGAGATCGTCCGCTCTGCTTCAGAGGAGAAAGAGCAGCATCCATGCACTTCGTAAACGTACGAGGGGCCAGGGATAGACCGAAGGGTAGGACCATGAATTGATACGTTATCCCCTCGAATGCTACCCCTACCTGAATGTGGAAATAAGCATCCTTTAAATCCACAGAGATAAACCAATCTCCCGGTCTGTTGTGTGAGAGGATTTGCTTTAGTGTAATCATTTTGAACGAGCGCTTCGAAAACGCGCGATTCAGCTGTCTCAAATCCAAGATAGGGCGGAGTCCGCAGTCTTTCTTTGGCACCAGAAAATAGCGACTGTAGAAGCCGCTCTCACGATCTGCAAGGGGCACTGTCTCTACTGCGCGTTTTGCGAGAAGATAGGCGGGCTGCACATCGTGACGGATAACTCGCCGTTGGGGGGTGGGGAGTTTAATACCACACGAGTGTGAGAGCGAGTGATGGGGGAGAGGGGAGTGAGAGGAGGAAAATTGCCCTGATACTGAAGTGAGTTTTGTTTCGTTTTTTACTTTATTGCACTGCATAGTGGAACAGTCAAAACACAAACATGACAATCGTTCTTGCCGCCCGCAACAGACAGGGGGGCGTGGTGAACACACAGCGGAGCGAGCAGACTTCTTCAGTGGCTCGTCTTCGGCGCTGGGTGCAGCTTTCCTCCTCC